CTCAGTCTGCCTTCAGCCTCGGCCTCAGCCTCAGCCTGCATCAGCCTCAGCCTGCGTCAGCCTCAACCTCAGCCTCAGCCTGCCTCAGCATCGGCCTGCATCAGCCTCAGCCTCAGCCTGCCTCAGCCTCAGCCTCAGCCTCAGCCTCGGCCTCAGCCTGCCTCAGCCTCAGCCTGCCTCAGCCTCAGCCCCAGCCTGCCTCAGCGTCAGCATGCCATAGCCTCAGCCTCAGCGTGCCTCAGCCTCAGCCTCAGCCTGCTTCAGCCTCAGCTTCAGCCTGCCTCAGCCTCAGCCTCAGCCTGCCTCAGCCTCAGCCTCAGCCTGCTTCAGCCTCAGCCTCAGCCTCAGCCTCAGCCTCAGCCTCAGCCTCAGCCTCAGCCTCGGCCTGCCTCGGCCTCAGCCTGCATCAGCCTCAGCCTCAGCCTCAGCCTGCCTCAGCCTCAGCCTGCCTCAGCGTCTGCCTCAGCCCGCCTCGCCTGCTTCAGCCTCAGCCTCTGTCTGCCTTCAGCCTCGGTCTCAGCCTGCCTCAGCCTCAGCCTGCATCAGCCTCAGCCTCAGCCTCAGCCTGCCGTAGTATTTGCCTGCCTCAGCCTCAGCCTCAGCCTCAGCCTCAGCCTCAGCCTCAGCCTCAGCCTCAGCCTCAGCCTCAGCCTCAGCCTCAGCCTCAGCCTCAGCCTCAGCCTCAGCCTCAGCCTCAGCCTCAGCCTCAGCCTCAGCCTCAGTCAGCCTTCAGCGTCAGCCTCAGCCTGCCGCAGCATCAGCATGCCTTAGCTTCAGCCTCAGCTTGCATTTGCATTCAAAATGTGGCCCGGGAGTGGAGTTCTGGGAACTCGACGAACACGAAGTGGCCCGCAGTTGGCTCCGGGCATTCAAAATCATGCCCAGGAATGGACTTCTGGGAGCTCGAAGACCACGAAGTGGCCTACAGTTGGCTCCGGGCAGTCAAAGTCATGCCCAGGAATGGAGTTCTGGGAACTCGAAGACCACGAAATGGCCTACAGTTGGCTCCGGGCATTCAAAATCATGCCCAGGAATGGAGTTCTGGGAACTCGAAGACCACGAAGTGGCGTACAGTTGGCTCCGGGCATTCAAAATCATGCCCAGGAATGGAGTTCTGGGAACTCGAAGACCACGAAGTGCGTCACTGTTGGCTAAAAAAGGAGTCCCCGGATTCCCGCGGCACCCGTCTGGCATCTGTCCGGCATCTGCCCAGACCCCCCTGGGAGTCATGGTGTTCTCTTTTGAGACCATCAGAAACCTATCAGTCTTCGCTGTTAGGTAACTTTTGCGTCCACGCGAGAACGTGTTTGGAACGATACTCGCGACCACCTCTCGCGCGCAGTGCTTTCTTTGCTGCGACCGACTGGGCTGGAAGCTTGGCTTGGAAAAGAATATGTTGTGTCGGCTTTCAAGACAGTGTGTCCAGACTTCCACCGGTCGCGGCCCATGTGGTGTTCGGTGTGCGACACAACCACGAACGGAAAGTGTCGGAATTGCGCTCGCAGTTTTTTCGGGGCGGTTGGGGGCGTTTGCGCGTGGTGTCGGTGCGCCCGAGCCAATGAGCGCATTTCAGTCCGTTTCTTGTCGTCGGTTTGGTTTGTGCATGTTGACGACGCCTCTCTCGCTGACGTCAAAGCGTGCACCCCCGTGCGATGGCAGTATTTCAGCAGGTTGTTTCTTTGCTTGGGTGGGAGTTGGACCGCTGCAGATCTGATGGGATGTCGGGGTCGCCCTCTCTGCTGGGGCGCGAGGTTGCCGCGGCCCCGCCGGGGGTGCATTGGCGCCCAGTGCGCGAGGAAGCTGTCGCGTGGCAGCGCGAGATGGCTGATGCGTCGCGTTCGATCGTTGCCCCCAGCATTGGCGTCGAAGTTCGCAGGAATATCGGCGTTCGCGTGTCAGCGATCTTTCGGTCGCGTTGGGAGGTTTTACGTGCGCGCATTCTTCGGGCGAGCCGCGCGCTGCGGGAGCTGGGCTTTCTCTTGCAAGCCGGTTGCGCGCGTGCCTGCGCTGGTGGTCCCGATTGGTGTCTCTGAATTCTGACAGCGCGGTCGCCGTTGAGGGGGCGTTCAGCGGCCCCTTTCGATGGTTGGGGCGCAATGGGCCCGCGGCAGAAACGCAGCCGGGGGGCGCTGAAGTGGCCCGCGCTTGCTGGAGTACTCGCGGAGTAAAAACATGCGTTTGCCATCGTGTCGTCTGGTTCCTCTTTCCCCTGTCGCTCCCGCGCCCCTCTCTCTGCCGCTTTCCTCTCCCGTCCTCCCTCCCCTCTCCCGCCCTCCCTCTCCCGCGCGCCCCCCGCCCCCTTGCCCCCGCGGTCCCTTGCCCTCTCCCTGCCTCCGCCTTACTGATCCCCCCCTCGCCCCCGGGGCCCCGTGGAGTCGGAATTGTGCGCGGTTGCTTGTGCTGATGAGACGCAGGCCCGGGCGCCGCCGCGTGGTTGAGTGCGGAATGCGCGGGTGCCAGACTGGGGCCTGTCGAGTGTCGCAACGCTGGCTCGTTTGTATGCGCGCGCGTTTGTTTTGGCGTGTTGTGTGCGTATGTGTGTGTGTGTGTGTGTGTGTGTGTGTGTGTGTGTGTGTGTGTGTGTGTGTGTGTGTGTGTGTGTGTGTGTGTGTGTGTGTGTGTGTGTGTGTGTGTGTGTGTGTGTGTGTGTGTGTGTGTGTGTGTGTGTGTGTGTGTGTGTGTGTGTGCGTGCGTGCGTGCGTGCGTGCGTGCGTGCGTGCGTGCGTGCGTGTGTGCTTGTGTGTGTGTGAGAGAGCGAGAGTGAGAGAGAGAGTGTGTGTGTGTGTTGGGTGCGTGTGTGTGTGTGTGTGTGTGTGTGTGTGTGTGTTCGTGTGTGTGTGTGTGTTGGGTGCGTGTGTGTGTGTGTGTGTGTGTGTGTGTGTGTGTGCGTGTGTGTGTGTGTGTGTGTGTGTCTGTGTGTGTGT